AATGCTGTGCGTCAAACAAATGACGGAGATCCCATCACGCCTGTATCACGCCGAGGTGGGGCGGTGTTTAACGCCCATTGGCGTTAAAACCGCATATCACGGCGGTGGGCGTGAGGGGTATTACCACTGCCCTAAGGTATACTTCATCCCAAAATGTTTTACATTTTTTTACTCAAAACGAGGCAACATATTATGTTTTTTAAATTAATTTTATTTAAAGGTTGATATAAAAATTAAAAATAAAACTTTCACATTTTAAAAAAATTACGTCAAAAGTGCTTTAAAACAAAAGATAACAAAAATGATTTATCTGATTATATAGTAAATAAAAATGCATAAATAAATAAAAATTTCGTGAATTTTAAATAATGAAGAGTGTAATCCTTTTAAGGATGGGGAGAGTAATTTTTTTTATTAAAAACATTTTATACTTAGGACCCCAATTAAAAATATTATGAACCCCAATTGAAAGTCTTAATTAATAAAAAAGTTGAGGACAATAAAACATTTAAATGAAAATAACAAAATATTAAAGTGAAATATTTAAAAATGAAAAAAATAATATTTTAAGAGAAGCATTAAACTTATACCACAATTAAACTATACAATAACTTATTGTTTGAGTAATGGTTTGAGATTAAAATCTTGAATCTTTTGTCCTCTCTCATTCTATGGCCGTGTTTGGAAAACAGCATTTGGGATAGCTTTTGGTATCTTTGACTGACTTTGGCTTTTTTGACCAAGCGAACCGCCAAAACCATTGTTTGGCTAATGACTTTTTCACTTGGCATTTTGATTCGAAAAGCCAAAATTTGAAATGCCAAGGTGAGTAGCATTTGGACATGGCGGTTAGGAAAATATTTTTTTAAAAAATCATTTTTGTTGAAAGATATTTTATAATATATGTAAAAAATAAAAATAAAAGTTAAAAAAATTAAATACGAAAAAATAAAATGAAATTAAAAAATATATATTTATAATTCATTAAAAAATTTATATTTATAATTTATTATGAATTAAATGAAATTAAAATTTAATATTCCATATAGTAAAGATTTAATTTTTACATGTAAAAAAATGAAAAATAAATATCATGTCCATACACACACACACAGACACACACACACACATATAATTTTTTATTTAATTTTTTTAATTTAAAAAATATATATTTATGATATGATATTTAAAAAAATTGTAAAATAAAATATACCATAAATGGAGAGATGTCCTTTTATGTAATTTTATTTACGAACAGCTAACTATAAACAGTTAAAGTTGTCAAACACTTAAAATTTAACTGCTAACAGAAACAGCCGGTCAAAACAACTAACTCAATCAGCCATTCAAATCAGCTAACATAAACAGCCAACTGTCAACCTGCTCTTATCATTGAAACATCTTGTTTGGCTATGTGAGGACGTCCTATAAGCTCAGGTTTCAAAATTATCCCACCTAAGAGCATCTCCAACCATCTCTGCTATATTAAAATGCTATTGTTAAATTTTAACTAGTAAATAGTAATTTAGCAAGTAGTTTTTTAATCCATCATCTAACCATGCTTGCTAAAATTTAACTAACAACTAGATTTTAAAATATAATAAATTCCCTTTTAGTATTTAAAAATGAATTAAAGTAAATTAATTCACTAACGGAGGAAGAAGAATGACTTTTTCATGTGCCTCTTCCTATTCCCGTTACTTTTTTGGATTTTAATTTAATTTTTTATTAATTTTCTTGGCATGCTTTTATTTGGATGGCTTGCTAGGTTTAGCAAGCCAATTTTATTTTTTGACAAGTATGTTAAAATATACCATATCCCTTGGAGATGGAAAAAAGAGATTCACTTGCTATTATATAACTTTTAGCAAGCCATATTGATAAGGTTGGAGATGCTCTAAGCGTGGCACAAGTTGCGTTTCTACAATCTATTTTTTTGATATACTACTTTAGAATTTAATTAGATTTAATTTTTGCAGTAAATTAATTTCAACACTTGATCTATAATTAAATAAAATATACTGCTCCGTCACCATTTTGATTACAATTTTATTTTCTCTCTCTTCTGTATAATTTTTGTTTGTTTGTATATTTTCATTGATTATTTAATAAAATAAAATATTCTTGTCATCTCTTATTTTGTAGAACTTTTGATGTAGTTTTTTAGCATGTAATTTTTATTTTTTATTAATGTACCAATTTATAAAATAATATAATTTCAAAAATTGTGAAATTTTACTTCGTAATTCACATTTTGAAAACAAAATAGGGACGAAGACAGTATATGATATATTGATTAGAAAAAAATACTTTTAAAAATATTTTTTGAAATAAATCTAATAAATTTTGTTTTTATCAATACTTAATATAATACTACCTCCGTCCCATTTTATAACGACTGTTTCGGTTTACGATGTTTGACCGAAATTATTTTCAAACCATTTTATATGACAAATGGTATAAAATTAAAAAATAAAAATTACATATTAAAAAACTACATCAAAAGATCTACAAAACTAGTAATGACATGAATATTTTATTTTATCAAATTGCTAACGAAAATAGAAAAAGAAAGTGAATGAAGTTTGACCTTCTGAATAGTAAATAGGCATTATAATTTGAGACGAAGGGAGTATTTTTTAGGGCCGGCCCAATGTGGGGACAAACTGTCCGTCCGGACCGGACCCATGATTGTAAGGGGCCCAATTATTTTTAATACTGTACGTATGTATATAAGAAGCCCAGCACCCAGTGAAAAGCCCATCTCATTAGCTGCCCCATCCCTTCCTACTTCGTAGACAACTCACGCGAGGCGCAGAAAGAGAGTGCCGACTGCTGAGGACGCCGCCGGTGGAGAGACGCCGCCGCCGCCGCCGCTGCACCCTCCAGGTGTTCCGTATTCACTATCTTTCCAATGTAGTAATTTTTATTCTAATTTTGTTTCTTTCATTGTTTCATGCTTTGGATTTAAAATCTAGGGTTAATTATTAATTTTTAGTTTGAAATCTTTGCTAATTGCTATGAAAAATGAATGAATTAATGGTTCCATATATTCTTTATTTGATTTGAATGACTTGATTTGAATTTATGATATATATATATAGCTTGTTTTGTCCTCATATTTTCTTGCCCTGCTTTTCTTTTATTTTCTCCTCTAACCAAACAAAAAAATTGTTTTCCCTATCATTTTCTTTTCTTTTCCTTTTCAAATTCGTTGAACCAAACATGGTGCTAGTGTCATAGTGGGTATATGGTGTGTGTGCATGTTGCGTAGTCCTCTCATTCCATGAATCTATTATCTTCACCTGACTGTTTATGCACATAACTTCTATGTTGCAATGCCCTTGTTTTGGCCCATTTAAAGCACTCCAGTTCTCATTTAGGGCGTTGCTGCTAAAATGTCTAATATTGTCTTCGATGAGACTTTCAAGATCGTTGGAATTGATGTTGATGGGAAAATATATGACAAAGGTAACATCTTTTTTTCACGTGTGCACCCGCAGCACGCTTTACATCATTGAGTGATTTGCAATTGAATCATCCTTACATTTCACGGAGTAAGTTTTGTTAATTTGACATGTTTTCATTTTCTTTATTTCTCAGTTTCTAGGATTGATGCAAAGGGTGAAGATGGTATCACAGATATGGTGCTGGATATAAACTCAGAGATATATCCCGTATTTGTGAACAAGCTGTACAGGATGGTGCTATCACGCACACTTGATTTAGGTGGTTCAGATAACCATCCTGAGGTATAATATACATCTATTACTTGTTTGGTTGTATCAATATTCAGTTTTTTAAAGACTTGAAGTGTATAAGTTAGCAAAGTGTATAAGTTAGCAATTGAGAGATAGGAACTGTTGAATGGAATAATATGTTCTTTTAAAACTTAAGATTTGAAAGTCACCAAAAATGTTAGCTTGCATGTTTTATGATATACCATTCTTGAAAGTCATGCAACAGTTACCCATAAAGTGTGTAAAACATTCATTCATAAACTAGAATTCAAGCCTTCGACTTCCTAATAGCATACATAGTGCCTCCTCCCTCCAAGAAAAGACTCCTGTTAGAGTAAGGTACACAGTTTTTAGTCAGTTCGAATAAGGTAAAAGGTATTACAAATTTTGAGTGATCACATAGAGGAATCTTAATTATAAATTGTACTGTGTTTTGAGTTTTAAAAGCAGATTTTCTTGTTTAGCACGGAGAGAATATATAATAAGCTCACGATTACCCTGTTTGCAGGGCAAGACGATATCGCTTGCAGACAAATTTGAGTATATCATGCATGGCTTGCTTTATAAGGTTGCGGAGGAGTCATCTAAAGTGTACGCACTATATCTTTTTTTTGTACTCTGTATGTTTCATTGCATCAGTTGGTTTAAAGCAGCACAAGCTCATCTAAGAGTTTTTGGGATGATTTATTCTAGAATTAAGTACTAAATGCCCCCCTTCGTCCTGAATTAGTTATAACAATTTGATATCATAGAATTTAAGAGAAGTGTAGAAAAATAAAAAGCGGGTGATTGAAAATTTGTTTAGAAGAAAAGGAAGAGTGGTGGACCACATATTCTATTATTTTTTACTTTATTAGGGAATTAAAGAAGTGTGAAGATTATTTTGGGACAACTCAAAAACAAAAGTGTGAAGATTAATTCGGGATGGAGGGATTACATTTTTAGAAGAGCCCAAAAAGTGTTTTGATAACACAAAGGAATAAGTGTGTTCAAACTTTGAAAAAAAAAATTGTGCTTATTTTAGAAGGTATAATGTGTTGCATTGGAAACAATGGTATATTGCCTACATGAGAAAGTACTTTCTTGTAACGCACTTATATAACGTTATTAGCATGACCACTCATCTGAAATTTGTTCATCCTGTCATCATAGGGCGGTGTATATTTCTTTTGGGGGACTTCAACTGAAGCTGTGCAGTGCACCCCTGAACATGTCCAAATTCAAGCTTGACCAACGTCTCTTTCTTCTTTTGAGGAAAATCTGATTTTTCTGTTGTTTGGGTTAGAAGGCTATCTGTTGCAAGACAAGTGTTTATCATTTTCTCTTTATGCTGTGTGAGACTGCTTTTGCACCAACAAAGTGATCTAGCATTTCATTAAATCAAGCTTTTGCAATTTGTGATGATAATACTCCATAGTAGTCAATAGAAGTGAGCAAAAAGGGTAAATTACTATTTAGACCCTCAGTCATATGATTGTCGCAATTTCAGTCCCTAGTTAAGCAGTTGTGTGCTAGGTGCTGGTTTTAGCCCTTCTTTCGTTAACGAAGGGGACTGAAATTGCTTCAAGGGTGGTGTGTGTGTGTGTGGGGGGGGGGGGGGG